CTTAACGACTGAGCCACCCAGGCGCCCCCAACCTAATGATTCTACCTCTTGATGGGAGATGCTGTAATGTCTCATTGAAAATAGAGTGGATATGAGAAGAAAGACTGTGGCCTATTTTCCATCTACTACAGTGCCTTTGAGCTATTTAAATATGGCTCCTACCAGAAAGCCTGAGTCTAGCTAAATCTAGACTGATCCCATAATTTGTGTCATCTCTCATTTCTAGAGCCTCTTAGCTTTCTCCCTTTATATGCATGCATCCCATACAGCACCCAATATCTGGAGAACAAAACCCGTCTATGTGTGCCACCTTTCTCTGTTCTACAAGTGTCAGGTTTTGCACATAGTAGCTTCCAAATAAAATAAATATTTACTACTATTTACTATTACTTTTTCAATACTACTTCATCATAGTTGATATCAATATCGTAGATGTTTTTATTTTCTTCTTATTTCTATTCACTTCTTAAAGTATCTTGGTATAAACATGCCAGAAGTTCATGATTTGGTTTGTTTTTCTTAGAGAGAGAGAGTGAGAGTGGCGGGGGGAGCAGAAGGAGAGAAAGAATCTTAAGCAGGCTCCATGCTTGACACGGAGCCTGACACTGAGATCATGACCTGAACTGAAATCAAGAGTCAGAGCTTAACCAACTGAGCCATCCAGGTGCCCCCAAAAGTTCATGATTTGAAGTAGAATATCCTAAGGGTACAGCTCTTTGTTCTAAAAATTAATTCTAGAACAAACTATAGTGCCCTACAAATATACTTAGCTTACTAAATTCTCATAAGCCATGGATATGTGATCAAAATTTAAACTCACCATGCTGAGTCAAATCATTCAGGAAACATTTGCACAATAGTTGACAAATCAAACACTCCATACAGTTCTAGATTTGCTTGTTTTTATAGTTGATGAGCTCAACAGACTTCCTCATAAATTCAATGTAAGATACTACCCTGGAGGATTTGGAGTTATTTCCTATGAACCTAGTTTATAGCTGATGTCAAATTTTGTTGGAAAGCTCCATTTGTTTTTCTGTAATCCAATACTTACCATTACTCACAATATAGTTTACATTAGCAGTCACTTTCCCCTGAGATTTTTGATCCCTTTCGGTTGACTCTGTAAACTTGTTCTGTCATCTCTAAAATGATCCCTTTATCAATGAGTAACTTTGGAAAGAAATAAAATATCAAATGCATTGCATAATATGCAAGCAGTACAATTACCCCAACCAAACAATGTGTGAGGTACAGATCTTCAGCCACAGAACTTATACATATATTAATACATGTTAATTTAAACAATATGAAAGTTGCTGTTTTACAGCACAAAAATGAAGAAATCTTGTCAATTTTATAAGTTCCATCTTAAAATGTATATACTCTAATATATACACACATATATGAGTATAAATACTCATATCATTTAGTGGTGGGATGGAGTAAGAGGAAGGTTGACAAATTTATAAGTGGAAGGATATCTAGAATAGTAGAAATATAGGTCACTGCTCTTTGAGGTTCCCTGTGACAAATGTACACAAATAACATATTCTAAGCAGATTATTTTGCCCTTCATTTGTAGATAAGCAAGTAACCAGTTACTGGCTTTTAAACACTTTTTTCTTTTTGTCATGAGACCATTTGTTCAAATGGAATTTATGCTGTGCTCCAACCTATGAAAGGATAAAAGTAGACGTATTTTAATAGAAGCTAAAAGAGTGAGTCTAAAAACATCCAGGTGATGCATGACATTTTTTAAAAAATTTTGAGTAGAAGTGAAATAGCAGAAAATTATGTATTCAGCAAATTCAGTAAGACATTACACTGGCATTTCTTGGATTGAACAGCTGGTCTGTTACTATCATCACACACCATTCTCTTATTTTAACATCAAAAATAAAACATGCATGCAGGGTTTTTTATTATTATTATTATCATGTTATGTTAATCACCATACATTACATCATTAGTTTTTGATGTAGTGTTCCATGATTCATTGTTTGCGTATTAACACCCAGTGCTCCATGCAGAACGTGCCTTCTTTGATACCCATCACCAGGCTAACCCATCCTCCCACCCCCTCCCCTCTAGAACCCTCAGTTTGTTTTTCAGAGTCCATCGTCTCTCATGGTTCATCTCCCCCTCCGATTCCCCCCCTTCATTCTTCCCCTCCTGCTATCTTCTTTTTTTTTTTTAACATATAATGTATTATTTGTTTCAGAGGTACAGATCTGTGATTCAACAGTCTTACACAATTCACAGTGCTCACCATAGCACATACCCTTCCCAGTGTCTATCACCCAGCCACCCCATCCCTCCCACCCCCCACCAAAATAAGTCAATCAGAGAAAGACATGTATCATATGACCTCACTGATATGAGGAATTCTTAATCTCAGGAAACAAACTGAGGGTTGCTGGAGTGGTGGGGGGTGGGAGGCATGCAGGTTTAACTATTCTTTTTTTTAAGATTTATTTGAGAGGCAGAGAGAGAGAGAGCAGAGGGGAGGGGCAGAGGCAGAGAGAAAATCTCACGCAGGCTCCCCGCTTAGTGCAAAGCTCAACCTGGGGCTTGATCCCACAACCCTGAGATCATGACCTGAGCTGAAGTCAAGAGTTGGCTGCTTAACTGACTATGCCACCCAGGTGTCCTTTAACAAGTTCTTCTTAACTTTCATATTCTACAATTCAAGTCTAGTCAAAGTGAGACTGAGAAATGGCTACTGTTGAACAGAAATGACATGGCAGGTATCATTGGTGGCTGCTTCTAGAGAAGCAGGTGAGACAGACTTGATTTAATCTTAGTTCATTTTCTAATTATTTAAAGCATACTGTGTTGTCTTCTTATTGGGTGCTATGGGATCTTGAGGAACAACATCTGTTTTTTTCCTCAATATTTCTGATAACTCTTCCTTCACTCAGGTGACTTGGAACAATGGTTTACAGATAGTAGAAACATTCTAAACACCATGTTGATCAGACAGACACAGGAAGGCAGATGAAGTAAACAGAGGATAGATGAACCCCTGATTTTAAAAATAATCTAAGAATTATTGTTACAAAATACTGACCCCATTTAACAAAACAAAACAAAAGAAGAATGAAGAAATTTTACACAAGCATTTATTCCTACATCTTTTTATTAACATTGGTCTAATTTATGAGAGTAATATTTAAATTCTGCCATAGTTCTTCTCTGATGTTTTAGTGGTGACTAATGAAGGGATTTGCAAAACTAATCCAAGCCAAACCAAGTCAAACATTAGAGAAATATATATTCAAGGATGGGACTATTTGCCATGCAGTGACATGAAAGCTAAGTCATTCCCTGGGTTAAACTGCAAATTTCTTTTACAAAAGTACTCCCACTTTAATCAATAGGAAATAATGGGGGGAAAAAAGTGGGTTTGGACTGAGCCAGAATTTGTCTCGGAACATATCAAAAAGGGAAGGTATTTGGTATTAAAGGACTAAACTCAGATGCTTTGAAGAGTCCACAAAATCATTTTGTTTGAGGGATGGTGGGATTGCTGCAGCCAGGGTTTTTTTAAACTGAACTCTAGCTTAGTTACTCATCTGCTGATGAACTAGAGTTTCAATGAGGTATGCTCAGCTTCCAGGTTGTTATAAAAACCTGCCATACAGTCAGCGTTTACTATGCTCTAAATATTTTCATACGGTTATCTCAGGCACTCACCAAAGAATTTTGTCAAGCAGATAGCATAATACAACTTTACAGATGAGAAAAAAAATGCTCAGAGAGTTTAATTAACCTGCTCAAATGATCACAAATAGTAAGGAGTGGAACTAGAATTCAAATCTTGGTCCATTCCACGCTCTCATGAAATCATGCTGCCTTTCAAAAAGTATGAAAAAATGAGGTAATAGCCCTCTAAAGGTTAATTTTACATTTCAGATTGTTTTAAAAAATGTTTGATAACATAAATGAATATGATGTCTACATACAACTTTTCATCTTTAAGTTCTTAACGATACATATTAACCTGCATGTCCTCTTCTCCTCTCCAGCAAATATACATTAATATCGAAAAGAATTGAAAGGTTTTAGAAATACTGCTTTCAAGTGACTTATTGATAGTTTACTTTGTATTACCTTAGACAATTTTGCCTTGGATTCAGAATTATCTTTGGGAACAGAGTCTTTGATTAGCCGAGATCGGTCATAATTAGCATGTTCTGAGTCATCCATGTAATCCTTATCTTTCCCTAGAGCTAGAAAAGAGAAAGAGAAAATTATATCCACTTTTATCCTTCTTCCTTTTCTCTCTCTTTAAATGTACTAATCTCTCTTTTATTCATGCTTTTCCAAGGTTTAACCAAGTATAACATTCTTATGACCCATCCATCCAAAAAGTAAGGAAAAAAAGAAAAAAAAAAAGGGGGGGATAACACGAAAGCTTCCCTGTTAGTAGATTAATACTGACACTACAGTAACTTTCATTAAGAATTAAATGCATCTCTGCTATTTAATGGACTTAAACTTTTTGAAAATAAAATTAGAATTATGCAAACTCATCATCTCTTTTGAACGTTAAGATAAAGATATTTTTTAAGATTTTATTTATTTATTTATTTATTTATTTATTTGAGAGAGAGAAGGAGAAAGCGAATGAGAGAGCACAAACAGGGGGAGTGGCAGAAGGAGTTGGAGAAGTAGGCTCCCTGCCAAGCAGGGAGCCCAACATGGAGCTCGATCCTAGGACCCTGAGATCATGATCTGAGCCAAAGGCAGACACCAACTGACTGAGCCACCCAGGTGCCCCAGATAAAGGTATTTCTAAGAACTCAATAGATTCCCAAGCATTTATTTGCCTAATTAAAAACTATTAATTTTGAGAATCTGTTTTCTTAAAAGTTGGAAGGTTTTCTAAATGTGAATTTGACTGAAGAGTGACAGAAGTCTGAGAAATCATAGAAGCAATTCTCACAAACATTACAAGAAAAAAACTTTAAAAAATATCAGGGATTGAAATGAAACTACAACTGCAAACAAGGAGAGAATACTGAAAATTAATTACTATTAGAATTATAAAAAGGGTAGGACCTTGTAAGAATATATCTGAACAATAAGCTGTAATCAATGCAAAAGAGTATAAAACAAGAAGCCTCTATGGGGGCTGTAAGTACAACCAGGAATTGCTGACGTGCTTCATACAATATGTATTCCATATGATAGAAATACCTCTTCGAATTCAAACACAGACAGAATCGTATATATTTAGCTTTTCCAGATAAATGAAAATGTTTTGGAGAGTTATTTTATTCCATCTGTTAACACCTATCAAACATAAATTTTGACATAGACAACCATATACAATGCTTTAAATATTTCAATCATTTGACTTAGTATTATAACAGAATAACAAATTGTTTATAATATATGCAGTAATTTCTTTTGGTAGTAATGCTTAAAATCTGCTATAATATATATTATGCCATGTACAGCTAGAGTATCAGAATCTTAGCAGTGGTATGAATTAAGACTGGACAGGTAATATTATGTCTTAGTATGTTATTAATTTCCAATTATGTTAAAATGCTCTAAGCACTTAGGATAAAAACCAGATCTATTAAAAATAGCTAACATTGATTGATGTTAACAGTTGTTGAGTACATTCTAAGAGCCAGACACTTTACAGGTATTATTTCCTTTAATCCCCATAACATCTGTACAAATGTGGGTATGCTTTTTACCTACATTTAATAGTAAATAAATTAATGCAGATGGAGATTAAGTACCATGCCAAAGTCACTAATTCAGTAAGGAGTGCATCTAGAACTCAAACACATTCAGATCTGACTCCAAAACTGATGTTTGTGAATATACTATAATGTTTTCCCTCGATTTATGAAGATTACATTTTATTCATTTAACAATTATTTATTAAACACCTATGATATTCCAGACATTGTTTTAAGAGTTAGAAATGTAGCAGCAAACAGAATGCTGCCGTCATGGAACATTCAAGTCCAAGGAAAAAAAAACAATAAACAACACAAATTAAGGAAATAGCAAGTAGGTTTTGTGGTGAGTGCACTGGAAAATAGACAGCAGAAAGGAAGGATAGAGGTGTCACAGGTGGGGAGGAAGATGTTATTTTAGTACAGAGAATTGTAGTAACATTTGAGCAAAGATGCAGGAAGGTAAAGCAGTAAGTCACACAGGTAACTGGAGGAAAAATGGTCTAGACAGAAGGAAAAAAATGCAAAACCTGGACCTGTATTGAGTGGGGTGTCAGATGAATGAGAAAGAAACTGAAATTTTGGAGTTAATTTGTTGGATCAGTTACCAAAACCCCATCATGTCCAGCTTGCTGGTTTGTAAGGCACAGAAGTTTCTCTTTTTTTTCCTTTTATCTCTCCTCTCTTTCCTTACCTTTCCCCTTGTCTCCCTATCTTTCCCTCCCTCTCTCTCTCCCCATCCTTTTCTTTCTTTTGATATTGGAGAGCTTGGAAGAGACCTTTGTGATTAAATAGCAGTAGGTAAACGGGCAGCATTTGCTGGGAGCATACACCCACCTGCAGGTCACAGTACTGTGATTCCTCAGCCTAAATCTGCCCCGTCCTACATTCCTACATCAAAGCTTTCCCTGGCAATCTGTCTTCTCATCTGTAATAGAGGTTTTTGAAGAAGGTCTCAAAGGGTCCTCCTCTAGGCTCTAATAACTGTGTGATTACTAACTTAATGTTTACAAAAGATAAAATGCAATTTATGTTAATAGATCTCATTTACTACAAAATACAAGAAATACAATTTATAGAAATTTTCTACTCATTTAAAACTTATCCCATTCACGATTACATTTGCTAGGCAGAGACTTTTATATTTTGTTTAGCTTAATTTTAATTTATTTAGTTTCTCTTCTTTCTCTTTAATTCCTGTAACACAAATATTCCTGGAACAGGAACATCCTTACATCATCATCTTGCTGGAAGAAAGCTCAGTTTTGAAAGACTTGCCAAATACTACTAACTTCATGAAAGCTTTTCAGATCCTCAGCTCCTTCCTGCCCCAAAGCTCCAAATACAATGGATCCTTTTCTCTCCTGAATTCCATCACATTTGGTTTTCCCCTCCTTTTCTTTCTCCTTCTCTTCTTTCTTGCCTTCCTTTCTTTTTGTGATTCTTTTTATTTTTCTGAATTTAGACAAAATTATCCCAGGACCATGTTCAATCTCTTTTTCATGTGTGTTTAATTTACTACAGAGTCTAGCACAACTTGGTCATTAGTAGATGAGTTAATTTAAAAAGAAAAAAAAAAGATGGACTTGTTAGTTTGGAAAATCTGGATCATAAGCGACATAATTTTTAAAATTTCCTTTTATTGTTAGGAATATAAGTATGTTTGCCTTTCTTCTTGTTTTTCTTGAAATTATACAGGATTCTTCTGTATATAGTAATAGCTTTCTTTTTTCCTTTTACTATTAGCAAGATTGCAAATTCCTGTCATTGTAATGTAAATTTAACTCTCCTGTCTTGTCTTTTGCAAGGTTCCTACAGTGTTCCCAGGTCAGAAACAAGAAATCTCTACTCTTACTGACTTAACATATACTTTTCCTGAGCATAAAAATGTCTTAACTTAGTTTGTATTCTTTTGTTAAATACTGGATTTTTTTTTTCTCACACTAACTTTATATACAATATTCCTATAACTAATGTTTTGTTTTGTTTTCTTTTTTCATGTGGATTGCTAATAATTATTTAACTGTTATATGTATCAGGTGTACTTCATTCATTAAATCAATATATTGAGCTAGATCTACAGTGTACCAGAGATATTCTACTTTGAAGGGAGTAGGAATCAAAATGAACAAAAATCTTTACCCTCATGAAGTTGACAGTGATAAAGTTAAGAAAAGAACTAATATAACTCCTATCTATTAAATGATGATATGATCAATTAAAAAAAAAAGAGGCCAGGGAGATAAAGGGGAGGGCAGCAATTTGCAATTTTAAATAAGGTGGTTAAGGATGGCCTCCCTGAGTTAACCTGGAGCAAAGATGCCAAAATGGTAAGTGAACCTCTGTAGGAAGAGCATCACAGGCAAAGGGTACAGCAAGTGCAGAGGCCCTGAGGTGGGAGCATGCCTTTCTTTGTTCACAAACAACCAGATTAGTGTGACTGGTGAGGAATGAACAAGAATGAAGGTGGCAGGGTATCATGTTAAAGTGGTAATGGAGGAAGTAGGAGCATATCAGGGAGGGCTTGGGCCCTTCAGAATGATTTTGGTTTTCATTCTGAGTTGAAGAGTGCAACTGGATGAATTTGAGCAGAATGAATTTGAGCAGATTTTAACAAAATCACTCTATAGCTGCTGACATGAGAATAGGCTGAAGGGGCCAAGGTCAGAGGCAAAGAAACCAGGTAGGAGTTATTGCAATAATCAGGTAGAGAGGATGTGCTTCGGGTCAGGGTGGTATCACGACTAAGAAATGGTCAAACCGAGGATGTATTTTTTTTTTAAAGGAAAACTAACAAAATTCTATTGGATATGGCATTTAAAAGAGAGAAGTCAACAATAACTCCAAAGTTTTTAGTCTGAGCACTGGGAAGGCTGCCATATTATTTTCACATAACATTTGATTAAATCCTTTAAAAGTATTGTTACTAGCCTTCATTACCAGTGAGGAAATGTAGGCAGTTACCTAGGGCCTCACATTTGGTGTGTGGCAGGAGAGCCCAGGAAATCTGGCCCTAAACCTTACATTCCTAGCCGCTATGTAATACTGCCTCTTGCAGCGTTGGAAAGATGATGATTTAGGAAACTTTGAAACCATAAAATATACACAAGGTAAAAAAAAATAAGTGGGTTACATAAAAATTGTAACATATTTGTTGAATGAAAAAGGGTGGAGTCTCCAATTATAAACATAGCTTTCTATCCTCCTTAAGTTGACGGTTATGGAGATAAATATTAGTATCCCAATAGATAAAAGATAAAAATTGTTAACAAACAAGAAATAAGGGTGAGATAAATTTAGTAAAAACTTACTTATTTTTATGTGGTTTAATATTCGTCATGACCAAGAATTTAAAATAAAAAAGGTCCTATTTTATGCTAGTACATAAATATTCTTTTGCATCTTTCATTTTAAATAAAAATATCCATTGCTGACAAGACACTAGGGAAACTGATAATAGTCATTTGCTTTCCGTACCAATATAAATTAGTAAAATTTTTGGAACAAAGTGTGTCAATATGTGTTAAGGC